CCCCAATCTCCCCCATTCCTTCTCCATCCACATCTTCCGTTCACCCAAATCAGAGACTTGGAAATGAAGTCCAAGCCAGGGGCCAACAAACTGCCCCACTTGCAAATCCCCATCCATTACAGCCAAGGTGCAAAATGTATTTATAAAAATATATAAAGCACGTGGAAGTGGAGAATTTTAATTAAATCTTACTGCGGCTCTAACAACATCGAAGTGATATTTCATTCGGAGCCCGCCTCTTGCTTGTGTTTTATAGCGTTTTCTTGCCTCTGACTTTATTTAAAATATTAGACGAGGTACAGAATTATAAATGACTCTTTCCTTATCTGTGCTGCTCACATATCCAGGATCAGAGGAGCTGATTAAGAAAGAAGTCAGAGGCAACGTTGGATTCATAATGATTCGGAATAATGAATCCTTATCTCTGCTTTCCAGATTATCACCCTTTCAGCTCCCAATGTTTTGTTACATGGGATAATTTATTGCATCTAATACATCACAATGAATCTGATGGCAGAAGGCGATGGGCAACGCTGGGGGAAAAAAATACGGGGGTCCTTATTTTTAGTTTAGTTTTGTCGTGGGGGCAGCGAAACATTGAATTTTTTTCCCCGTAGAGTTGTTTGGGATTTTGTTTGTTGGTTTGTGGGGGTTTTTTAGTTAGAAAAATATAAGGTAAATCTGATGATAATAATAATAAAAAGAAGTTGGCGGGAGGGGGGGGGGAGGGGCTTTAATTAGTGTGTCACTTTCAGACTGAAATTAAGAAAATCGACTGGAGCTTCTCTCGGTGGCTGCGAGATCCTAATTTTACATGATTTATTTTTTATTTAAGGGGGAGATAATGCATCATAAACATTCAATAAAGCACGGAGCAGGGTTGAGATAAAGCACAATTTGCATCTCTCTCTCTTCTCCCCCCTCCCCCCCCAAACCCCCTTTTTTTTTTCTTTTAAAGCCAGAGCTGCCAATAATGTTTAATTATTTTTTTTTTCCCCGCCCCGTTGCCAAATAAACACATGCATAGCAAAAAAATCGAGAAGATTTCTGTTAGGAGTCTCTCCTCTCTGTCTACTTGTTTTTCTGCCTTTAAAAAAATTATTATTTTCTCTTTTTTTTTGACATTTATAATAAACTGGAGGAATTCCGGGGGTTGCTTTGTATGCAAATGAACGCTGCTCTGGGCGTTGTTGGTGCGGGGTGGAAAAAAGAAGAGGGGGGGGGGGGATTGACCTGAAATTTTTGATATTGGTGTGCCTGAGGAGGGGAAGATCTAGTGATGTTTTGCTGGGTGTGAATATTTTCACTTGAATCCTTGGTAGGAGGAAGCAGCCGGTGTCTGCCCCCTCACCTGAGCAAAGAAAAGATGCGTTTCAAACCCCTTTTATTCCCCTTAAAGGGCCGGGCTGGGGAGGGGATTCCCGTAGCAATAACAGCTCAGCCCAAAAGTTCAGCTCGACTGAATCACCGCGTGGGTCAAACCCGAGAAAGGCTCAACCCACCCCCCAAAAAAAAACCCAGCGGAGGGGCTGGGGGAGATCCTGACCCGCGGCAGAGCATCCCCGCCTCTTCATTTCTTGGACAGCACCAAAAGAGAAAATGGTGCCTAAAATCCTCTTTGCGGCCAATTTGCTGCCTCTCGCTTTATTTTTTTTTTTCCCTTTTCCTCCCCCCCTCCCCCCCTTTTCCCCCCCTTCTCCTTTTATTTTTTTTCCCTTCTATTTTCTTTGTTATTTTCCTTTGTGTACAAACATTCTGGATGCCAACATTTGTGGGGACAGGTGCTGGCAGTCCTATTCTGCTTTGCCTCAAGTTTCCCTGGGTTCCTTCTCATCCCTTCTGGGCTCTCACAGCACAGGGAACAGTGTTTAATCATTAACCAGGTCTTGCACAGTCCTTTTTTTTTTTCCAGGAAGCGGGAGACGCTTCTGAAATGGGGTTGAAAAATAACTTGTTTTTCCCCCTTTGCCTGAAGGGGAAGTTTCCCACCTGGGGGGTTGGGTCGGGGGTGGACCTGCCCACCCGTGGGTAGTTTCAAATGTACTTCTTGCTATAGGTTCATCATTTTATCTGCTGTGTTTCACAAATCCCAGCCAAACGGGGATAATCTCTGCTGCCCTACTCTTCCTCCACCGTGTATTCCACGCAGTATTTGCCAAGGAATTTCAAGTATCAATTATAACCGCAATTTTTTATCCCCTCCCTCCCCACCCCCCTCCTCTCCCCCTCCCAAATTTGAAGTGTAGATGATTTGATAGGAATACACACATATATATCTATGATACCGGTTCTCCCTCAGATGCATTTATTGGACCATGTCCCACCCTCAGCTGAACATTCAATATTCCAGCATTATCTCCGCACTTAAACTCGCTTTCGCCGTTTCTGTGCCAAGATAAATTTGCATAATATTTGCAGTTGTAATTAGCCGATGAACATCTCCCAGCCTTCCCCTTTGTTTTCCGTGCGTTTGGACTTCGGTTGATGCCACTTTTGATCTTTAATATTATAGCATCCCGACCGAGTGTTTTATATCTTATCTGCAGCGCGTGAAAGTCGCGTGGAAAGGGGGAGAGGGGAAAAAAACACCCGCAACAAAAGGGGGGAAAAGGAGAGGGGGGGAAAAGGCACCGAAAGAAGCTGAACTGATCAGACTTTGGAAAGGTTGTTTCAGATGCCTGAACCCGTAGTTACGGGGCAAAACGCGATCAATGTTGAAATTAGAGCCATTGAAAAGAATATGGGGCTTGATCAGGTGAGGCAGCTCCAGCATCTCTGCATCCCGCATCTCTGCATCCCGCATCTCTGCATCCCGCATCTCTGCATCCCGCATCCGGGAAGGGCGGCGGGGCCGGAGCTGGGGACAGGGGACAGCGCGGACGGCAGCGGGTGGGTGTGGGCGTGGGTGTCCCCTCGTGGCCTGGGGGCCTCGTGGGGAGGTGCCCCGAGGTCTTTTAGGGACTCGAGCACCAAAGTTGGGGGTTTATATACATACATATATACATACAGATATACATACATATATATACTATTTTTTTTTGGGAGGGGGGGGAAGATGCTTTTCTTCACCCTGCAGCTGCG